TTTCCGCAGATAGTCATGTTATCTTATGCTTTGAATGATGCGCCTTCTTGTGGCCTCAGGAGAGAAGCCAAAAGTTGTTCTTCACCCGAACTGAAATTATGCATTTTAAATTCGAATTTTGATCATATTTAAGTACAAAATTCGAATTTAGTTTTTCAGCCATTTTGACAGCCCTAATTCAGAGCTTTGATTGTCAGGAAGATGTTGCCAAACCATGAGCTTGTGAGCATCGCTGGTGCATAGAGTCACCCCTGATGACCCGTCTGAATCCCAAAATGACAAATAGGACACCCTACGGCCTTGTAGACTTAATGGACACAGGTCTGTGGCGACCAAGTCCGTGAGACCGCAAGGGCATGTGAAGTGTCCCATTTGGGACAGGGCCCAAGTGATCATAGAGCCATGGGAAACACTTACGCACGGACTACAACAACTCCACTTCACACCACTAACATAGTCAGATGTGGAGCAATGTGAAGGCTGACAAAGTGGAGATATACAACCAGTGAAATGTTACACTGCTGCTGAGATAAATATCAGAGTCACTGCTTGACCAAATCAGTTTAGACAACCAGCACACTAACTAACTTTACCCTAGCCAAAATGGGATCTTTTAAGATTACAATCTGATACCTACAACTTAAGACATCCTTCATATTGGGAATGCACCTGTGTGGTAAAGATAGAATGAACAAGTGGATGGACAAGCTGGGTCTGACCTAGACCCTCTGGAGTAAATGACTGTGGAGGAGACAGGTGTCTAGACTAATGGACAGTGGCAGTGTCTCTCACACGGTTTTGCTGAAATTAAGAGCCACGGGTTGATCCATCCTCAGTGTATCCTATAGACGATCATTCCTGCCTAATATCTGTATCTGTCTGCATACAGGCCCTCTCCTGAATGCACCCCTCTATCTCTCCACCTATGTCGCTTCATACATTATACTGTCCGTTTCCTCCATAGTGAGAACAGGACTGCTGATGGCACCACTGCCAGAGGATACTCATGAATAAAGCTCATGGGACCTGCTCTTCACCCAAACCCCCTGAGCACTGATGACACCTAATGATCATGTGTGTTTCCTCAAACTTGTTCATAGTGCCAAACTGTGACAAATAATCACACAACCCATTGGGCTCTAGCTCTTGCACTCTAGCGAGGAAGAGTTGGCCAAGATTATCTCACTCTAATGCGTCTGAGTCATCTCTCAGTGTGGAGTTATATCATCGCATGGGCGGAGTCATCTTACCTAGTGGGTGGAGTTATCTCAGTTGGGCAGCGTGTGTGGGGTGTAGAGAACATATGGATGTATCAGAGAGACACAGAAAGAGAGAGAGAGAGAGAGAGACGTGTAGCAGTTGGGTTTAATTAGTCTCATCAGAGCAAAGGTGGAGCAGGTGAATGGAAACATGACTATCTGTGCCTGCCGTCCTCTCATAGTTTCTGATTTCCTCATTGTTCATATGCTTGTTTCTTTCTACCGTTCATTCCTCATTTTTTCCCTCTGCGAGTCAAACGGAGGAGAGCAGATGGTGGATCACACAGTGAGACCAGCCTGCCGTCCACCTCAACGCCCCTTCCCTCCGTTTCAGTTTTAATGTGCTTTATTAGCATGACAAATAACAGTACATTCATACTGCCACAGCAGATGCAGCTTAGCTGCTGACAATGAAAACCAACAAGAAAAAACAGCTTTAACAATAAGAAAATAACTCAGACAAATATAACGAATCAGCACTAATAATAATGCTCATAATTTAAGTGATAGGTCAGCAGGGTTGGGGATGACAAACATGACGTAATCAGGTGACGTCGGAAGCAAGTAACCCATTGCTTGTTTCACAAGTTCCTCTGCTCATCCTGTCCTGACTATTTTGGCTTGCTGTTCTTGAAGGAGGGGCTGAGTCCCATGATTCTGAGCTCTGAACAGAACCCCCGGACGACAGAACTGGATCGAATGTGGTACTGTAGCTTAGAATAGAGATGGGGTGGCGGAGGCATGCTGGAAAAGCCGTCACTGCTGCTGCTTATGCTCGTGATCATGATGACTGACAGGACTACATTTTGAACTTCATTAAATTCTCACCACAATGCAAGATCCTTTTTTTTCAAATAAGTAATGCATTTTTTTATTTTTTATTATTATTCTAATTATTTAATTTATTTACTGGCAAACGCAATTGCAAATCCAATAAAAAAATTAAAAATAAAAACAATCATGCTTTGAAAAAACTAACAAGGTTGACGACTTCTACAAACAATTTGTCTGTTCGGTACTTATCTGTCACAAGAATTATTTTTCATAAATCTAACATTTGAGTGGTATACATATATACATATATATATTAAAAAACATTATTTTTATCTTTTGGTTTTGAGGTGAAAATCTAAAGACAATCTCAGCATTTTGTATTTGTGTTTTTACTTTCAATTAATTATTTATTCTTTCTATGAACTCATCAGACTGACATATATATAGAGATAGATAATGTGATCATGTAAAAGGGAAAATGTGTGTTTAGGTTTTGTTTTGCACCATTTTAATGATCTTTTCCCATGTGTGAAAAAATAAAATAAAATAAAAAATAGAAGTACAAATATTTAATGCAGTCATTTACTATATTTAATATGAGGTAATCTACATGAAAAATCATTCAAAAAAGAAAAGAAAAATGTTGTTAAATATAGTTTTAGATGGCATTTAGTTTGTGTGTCAGCTACTGAAATATTTCATATCAGCTGCTCATTTACACTCCACAGAGACACAGACAGAGAGAAACAGAAACACACGCATACATATTTATGATGGAAGTGAATCTCCTGAAAACGTCAAACAGCAAGCACTACAAGACACTACATCCCAATATAAACTGTGTGTGCGTGTGTGTGTGTGTGTGTGTGTGTGTGTGTGTGTGTGGGTGAGTGTGTGTGTGGGTGTGCGTATCAGACTGACATATATATAGAGATAGATAATATGATCGTGTAAAAGGGAAAATGTGTGTTTAGGTTTTGTTTTGCACCATTTTAATGATCTTTTCCCATGTGTGAAAAAAATAAATAAAATAAAAAATAGAAGTACAAATATTTAATGCAGTCATTTACCATATTTAATATGAGGTAATCTACATGAAAAATCATAAAAAAAGAAAAGAAAAATGTTGTTAAATATAGTTTTAGATGGCATTTAGTTTGTGTGTCAGCTACTGAAATATTTCATATCAGCTGCTCATTTACACTCCACAGAGACACAGACAGAGAGAAACAGAAACACACGCATACATATTTATGATGGAAGTGAATCTCCTGAAAACGTCAAACAGCAAGCAGGTCAAATCACCTGACACTACATCCCAATATAAACTGTGTGTGCGTGCGTGTGTGTGTGTGTGTGTGTGTGTGTGTGTGCGCGCGTGAGTGTGTGTGTGTGTGTGTGTGTGTGTGTGTGTGTGTGTGTGTGTGTGTGAGTGCGTGTGTGTGAGTGTGCACAGG